TGTTTTCACACAGGTTCACATCGCACGCCTAGAGGAACAGAGGAAGATGGCGACCACACCCATGGGTCTGCTGACAGTAAGACTACAGTTTGTCCACGACACACTACGTTTGGAGGTCCTCAATGCTAGGAACCTCAAGCCCTTGGACTCCAATGGTAAAGAATTACACTACATATAGCATTTAAATTTGATTCCATTGCCTTGTGTTAAATTGATCTCTTGAGGTATACTGTCTTACAAAAATATATACAGTAATGTCAACAATGCATATTCTCTTGCATAAGGCCAATCATACTTTCATAGCACACTTTGATATTATCAAGAAACGATGAGACAAATACCATTTACTTGTAAATTAGATACGGCCTCCCAGCTAACATAATGCACTGTGATTCATTCTCGTGACCCTCAAATTCTATTTTAGAGGCATTCAAAAACTTATGAACTAGAACACTAGATTACGTGAAAACTGAAAATCTAAATATCAGCATTATTGATAAATTGAGCAGTAATTGTCTCTGATTTTATATTACAGTAGGTGTTAGCCTTGAAATTGACATGCCTAAGCTTGTACTCTACCTCTAAAATCATTGCAACTGTTAAGCATTGTGTACTAGGTTACTTGAAAGAGATGGTACTCCACCATCCTGATTAAATATTTCAATGGTATTCTTTCCTTTTTACATCTTAAATCCTCAGAATAACATCAAATTAAAAAAAAAAAAAAAAAAAAAAAAAAAAAAAAAAAAAAAAAACAAGTAATTTAGCTCTATGTAGATTTGAAGTACTGTTTAAAGCAAGAGTCCATATGACACACTGTGTGACGTTTACAATTGCTTAGACATCAGTCGTACAACAAGATAAATTACATACCAAGTATTGCTGAAAATTTTCCATTATTCAAATTATATGGAATTTGGAATTATGTGTATAGCCCTTGATCCTCTTATTTGATTTAATTTTAAAATTACAGATCTGTATCTGGTGACAATGCTATTTTTAGCAAATTACCCTGTAGCTATTACTGTACTGTAGGTGGCACAGTAAGATATAGACCGATCGATATACTTTTTCATTTTGATGTCCCTAGACACCAAAACACTATTCGTTCAAAATTGTATATACCGCTCTATATACTATATATACGTCTGTGAACGTGATAGCTCTACTAATTTTGTCCGATTTTGATGAAATTTGGCTTTAAGGTGTAGAGCAGGATAAACTTAAATGAGTTCGCGAACCAGCTTGATTGGACCATGGAACGGGGTTTTATTGGGTAAAAATGGGTTTTCTCAATTTTGAATGTCAAAACAAGAAATTTCCCAATTTCTCACCAAACCATTTTAAAGAGATAAAAACAAGTGAAAACCCAATCAGGCAAATGAATTCGCTTAGACTGCAGGTTTGGGGGTATTTATTGATCACACAAAAGTTTTGAAATCATAATATTAAAATATCCTTCCATGATTACAAAAAACTTCTTTCTTTCTTTTGGTGTTACCTATTGTTAAAAATAAACCCAATTTTCACTTACATATGTGTGTTGCAGGTTCTTCTGATCCTTATGTGAAAATTCACTTATTGCCTGAGGAGCTCTTTGCAGATGTAAAAAGGCCAAGGACAAAAGCTCAAAAACAAAACTTGTTTCCTCTATTTGATGAGACTTTCACAATGTGAGTGAAAATAAACAAGATTTTATTTATAATAGGCCTAATATACTAGGTGGTATAAAAGTAGATAAAAATTGTTATTTTTTGCTAGTTATAGTGTGAATACCAAGAACAGGGTTTGGCCCGCAAAAAAAATATCCTATAATATACTATTTTCTTATTAGGCAATAAAATTAGTTGAATACCTAACAAAACAGGAAAACAACAAAAATTTAAAATTACAAACTTAATTTGTTGAATAAATCTACGTTTATTACGTTTTGCTGAAATTTAAAGTACTGTCGTTTTGGCTAGGATGAACCATTTTGGGTCGGGTTTGGACTATTTGCATTAGCGACATGTGTTATCTGTCAACAGCCAGCTAACCAGGGAGCAGAGACAAGCTAAAGACGCCATGTTGCTGTTCATGGTCAAGGACCAAGACTACTTTGGTGTAACTTCACAGTTTCTGGGAGAGGCTTACTTCCCTTTCAGTGAGATTCCTACAACGACCATGGAGATCAATCTACGAGAGATGCAACAGACGCATCTCAAACTCAGCAAGCCGACGGAGTCTAGTTTGGGTGAGTTTCAAATAATCGACTAACATGGATTCTTTGATATCACATCAAACTGAATTAACTCTATGTGGTTTCGGGTGTTAATTTAAATCTCTTTACAAGTGGTTGTAGGAGAACTAGTTTTAATAATTGGTGAGCCTGTAATATTAATTATATTTAATGTTATTAGCCTATGAAATACTCCGCCACAGCAAACATGCAGACTAAGCGTAATATGTCTGCATGGATTTTGAGAAAAATATTTCTATAAACAAGTCATACTTATTCCCTATTTAAATAACATTAGATTTAATGAGTACTTTTTTCTGCTATTGCCAAGGGAAAAAGTATCTTTAATCAAACGATAATATTTATAGGATGAAATAAACAAACTTGTCCAACCTCAATGGTTATTTAATTATTATTTAACCACTTGTTTTTATTAATTTTCTTTACTGATGTTGTCTTGTATTTTTGTCTTTATTGAAAACAGTTTATTTTTATTATCTTTTAATTTTTATCTAAATAAGAAATAGATTATTGCGCAGTCGAATGAAGAACCCGTATTTTAGAACATTAAGCCTCATGAAGCCTTTTCCTTCAACCTAGACCTTCCTAAAGTAGGTCCAAAAGTATGGGTCCAAGATTTTAAAAAGAGAGGGGATTATTATCAGCTTAGGACAAGAACCAAAGGTCATACTAGGTTAAGACAGGAAACACTACATTGAGAAGGAATCGACACCACCTTTTGCCTAACAAAGGCAATACAATGCCTTTCCATGTTTTTTTAGAGAACAAATTAAAAAAAAACCTATTTTGGAAAATTGTTTATATCCTACATTTTGTTTATATTACCTGATATTGCTGGTTTACAAACTCAATCCAGTTTTTTCACCTCTAAGCATTCATGCCAAAGTTAATCAAAATTGGAGCATAATTACTAGAGTAATTGTGTTTACGGACATATATATAATATGTACATTTGGACGAACAGTGTTTTTGGCCTCTGGGAACATAAAAATTAAAAAATAAATCGGTCCCAGGTCTAGGTCTTTCAATGTCACCTCAGTAATAGCTTCTTCCCTAAAGCGAAATTCGCTAAAGTAAAGAACTAATTTCTTTATCTTTTAATGGGATGATATGTCAGTGGTGTAGCCAGGTTCTGAGAGGGTCCTGGAGCAGAAATGGCTAAGCCCCTTCTCCCGAAACAATGAGCTTCGCCCTTACCCTTTTACCCTTGAGGGAAACGGAAAAGTATAATTTATCCTAAACTGAAAGCGATTTAACAATAACTATTTTTTTTTTTTGCTAACGTCCACCCTATAGAGACTTACGCCCTGGAGCAACTGCTCCACTCGCTTCATTGTAATATGACACTGTGTATGGTTTGGTTAACTGGGATGAATTATAAACAAAAGGTAATTTGTTGACCCTTGATACACATCTTGTCAAGATAGAACTGCTAGTGGATTAGGGTTAAGATTGTTTATTTAATTAACATTTACAGTAGGCCTATAACTAATTATGTAAATTAGGAATTGGCCATTGTGAATGAATGGGGTTTGGATGGTTAAACCAACTCAGTTTTCAGAAAAAAACCAGCAGTGGCTGGATATTTATATACTGTAAATAATATTGTGATTTAGTTTTTACATAAGCTTATTTTGTTTCAGAATGTGATGCGATGAAAGCTTTGGATCACCGACAAGGTGAAAAATTAGCAAAAGATTTTATAAAACGACAAAGGTCCAAACATAACCACAGCAATGTGCCCTCATAAATGACATTTTATGGTTGTACATAAATAGATCTGTTGTGTTTCTATTATATTTTGTATATTCGTAACTGTACATTTGACTGTTCCTGAGTGTATTGTAAAATATGATTATGTGTATACTAGTTTAAAAGCAAATAAAATTTAATTTATTTTTAATTTTATTGTTGGCATTTTATTTTACATAGTACAGATGGATCCTGTCAATCATGATAGAATGTGGAGAGGGTAATGCGTGAGAGAAAAAACACTTCTTCCACCACTCTCTCTATTACCAAATACAATGTAGATCTAACAGCAATTTTTGAGATGACTGTAGAAAATAACACAAGCGATGTGTAGCGACTCACTACAAGACAATAGCGCAAGTCACGTGACACAGTTAGGTGCGCGCGCAGTCTCCCCGATACAAGCACGCGCGGCTAGAGGAGAGTACAGTAGTGTTTCATGCGTGGTCCCAGCAACAGTTCAACATTCGGATAAGTAGTAGCATTAAGACTATGAGTAGATAATTATATAGGGGTTGGGGAAGGGTGTAGGCAAGGGCAAACTTATTTTAATTATGTAATTTATTATGTTCACCAATGGTCGTGATCTGGTAATCAATATCCGAAATTTAGAATTCACATTTGCTGAATCTAGTTACTTTTCACGAATCAGAATAAGTCCAGATATATAATTATTTCTCTGTTCACTATATTATAATTAGATATATTAAATAACATAAAAGCTGCCTGTGATATGCAGCTAAGGCAATATTGTGGACTTTGACGAGGTAGTTAGTTTCTTTGCAGTAGAGCTGAACAACAACAGGAAATGGGCGTGAATTGATAGTGGTAAGAGGAAGGTATATAGGGCCCAGGTATATTCCTTTACACTCATACTACTCCACATCACCACAGATGGTGGTGGAAGAAGGGTTCTAATGTGCATCACTCTCCCCACTTTAATTCAATTAATACCTATAGGTGCTAACAAGGATGTAAAGATATGATCAATTGTAAGTAAAAACATATCTCACTGTAAAAGTTTATTAAAATATGTTTGCTCCTACATCACATTTGGCTCTAAAACAAACTTAACTTGAGAACTACACCAGTCAAAATACAATACTTACTCTATAATATTTTAAACTTTCAATAAACTTAATAGCCTATTTCATAAGAACCTTAATGGTGGTATATTTAATAATGAAATGTATAGAAAGTAATGAAGTTGTAAGTATAAAATAAAGATAAAACTAACAATGTCATGAAATATTGAAATATACACATCCTTCAACTTCTTAACATCTTAGATCAGATGTGGTTATTCATATATCTACTATGCAGCTATTTAAATGCAACAAAACTTTAAAAATATCATTAATTTCAAGTATTTAAATTGTTAGTGCCAAAATTAAACCAAGAATATAGGCACAGTTGAATCACTTTCAGAATGTTACCACAGTTTATGTTTCATATTCTGTAAACCCATTCTATGTAAGTACTTTCATGAAATACTTAAATAAATTTGCCAACTAATTCTTAATTTGACAATAATACGTTAACAAATTTCAACATGATCACATACTGGTAGTAGTAGGTAGGTACCAAACTAAAGCTACTGTTCAAAAATTGACTCTACATTTCTTGTCTTCATACCTTTAAAATAAGAACATTTTGTCCTTCAAAGTATTCAATCTGTTCACCTTTAGTAGCTATTTTTAACTTCATCGCCCGTATCATCTGTATCTGTTTCCATAGCAGAAGCAATGACTGTAGCAAATTTGGGTATCTGGTCGCCCACAACCTCAGGCGCTGTTACACAGTTGATGGTTTTTCCACTCTCGTCCTCTATGGAGATGAAAACCTGAGACACTCCACTGTTGGAGTCTGACTCTATGTTGGACACCTTGAATGACGCTGAACCATTCAACTGAAACAAACAAGTATATTTTTACTGAAATCAAATAGGCTAACAATCTGATTAAAACGACCATTTCTAATCCATCAAGTATTAATTGATCTGGGGTCATTGCGTAATAAGAATTATTCAAGTGTCAGATACTATGACTATATCAAATTTACAAGAAAACATAATGTTCATTATTTTCCAGGTACTCTTTTAAACATAAAAGCCAACCAATTATTAAAACATTCTGTCAACATCAACAAAATACAGTAATTGTTGAACACATAACACCAATCTGAAACAACCAAATAATCTAGAAAACCAACATCAGTTAAAAACAAAGTACAGTTGTAAAAATATCAGTGTATTCTTAAACACATTGATACAAGGCAGCATACACAAGTCAGAATGATAAATTTATTGAACGGAGATAAACTTAAACTTCCTAAAATCTAGGTACAACTTCTTTTATTCAAAACTTTCTCTCAACCCTAGAAATATTGTATTTAAATTATGTGAAAATATTATGGTTAGATTGAGTTGTAAAAAAATTAGAGTTATTTCTAACATCAATGAGTAACGACTGGGGTTTAACAAGATCAATGACCTTGAAAACTAGCATCAAAACACTGTCCAATTTTACAGTACAACCTAATACTGCACATTATATATATAAAGTGTTCGATTTGCGGTGGAACATTTGCGTTCCAGTACCTCTCTTTCGGAAAGATAAAAATATTGTCATAAATAGGTACTAATCACATTAAATGGGTAAAAGTTCCGTCACCTCATTTTGTTACAAATCATCATGAGTCATGATCATGGTCATTGCCTTCTCTTCCCCAACTCCCTCACCAAATTTAACATTAATGGAGAGTATTTGTTAATGGCCAGACGCCTCCAAACACCCTCTCTTCCTGCCAACCCTTGTATTCTACAGTATTGTTCATGTATTTTTTTTTATCAAGCAATGATGTTATCTTCAAAACCCAACCAATCCACTAATCTTTGACTTATAATAGACTAAAAAAATAGCATAGATGTGATAAACCTTGAACTGAATACAAGTGTTGACAGAACAGTGGTGCAATTAAAAGAATGACTTTTCAATTTTCAAGGAGAAAGGAAGGATACACAACTAAGTCACCTGAAGAAAGAGTCTCAGGAAGTTAAAAGTAACTTACATAAAAAAGAAACACGTTTGACAGATATTCCCTGAAAGGGGTGACATATCAGTTCAAATGTGTTTCTTTTTTATGTACTTTATTAAAATTGTTAACCCATTTTGTGCATAGATCTGTAGCATAATACAGCAGTGTAATTTTTGTTTATGATGTGTGAATGATATTATATTTCATAGTAAAAAAACTTACTGTACTTAAAGATGATGATTTTGACTCATTCTTTGAAGGGGAGGCTGCTGACTTTTGACTGTTTTCTCCATAAAGCTTTACACTTTCATAGCGTACAGTTTGCAGCCTAAAATTACCATCTTCTTGTCTTTGATACCTACAAAAGTTTAAGTAAGTTAAGACTTGCCCCTATATATTAAACATCAAAATAATTGATTGATAACTAAAACATAATGTTCATTATTTAACTTAATCAAAAGCAATGACTAAACAATACAGCAATGATATTCTGTATTGTAAGAAAAAAATAAATTATACTTCTTTTAATAAACCTTCATGTCGATATATTTAGGTCCGGGTGTGCAGATTTGCAAAACTGGCTTTGGATTTTCAATTCAAGCCATAAAACTTGAAAGAAAAACAAAATAAGACTTTGTTTACATGAGTTTGTTTACATTTCTGATTTCAAATTCAGAAAGCCCAGCTGTTTCTTTTGCATTTCCACTAAAAACAAAATGTAGCTTTTTTAGCACTTCCTGGGCTATGGGTCCGGATTTATCCGTCAATCTCCGTTTACGTTCCGAGCATGAAACGGATATATCTGTCCTGAGAAATTTCTTTTCTGGGCTAAAGAAGGAGTTCAGTTCTTATAATGAGTTCTTAAAATTATAATGAGCATATCCGTAAAAAAACAACTAATTGATATACATTGTTTATGTTGTATTTTTTGATGTTTTTTAATAAAGAACAAATTCTATTAATTTTACAATTTAAACAAATTGGGTTTAACTATCCAGGGGCCACAATACAAACAAGTAGGCTACTATGCTCAAATTTTGTGTAGGTTCGTTCCTATTGGAGTATGAGGGTGAACAACAAGCGTTGTAACTACATTTGCTCCATTCACAAGGCCATTAGGAGCGAGCTGGTCTAGTGGTTAGAGTGCGGGACTTTGGTTCCTGAGGTCCAGGTTCAAATCCCTCCAAATCACCATTGGTTTTTTCTAAGTGATAATACCACAACCCCTAGGTCTAGCCTGAAGTAATGTAAAAAACAATCCCGGGCTCGTGCCTAGCGTCCATGGACGAAAAAAAAAATCACTAGGCCAATGGCAGACCCGAGTTCCAAGAGTGATCCAGGAGGCTGGACAGGACGACACTGAGTTGCACAACATGCATATTCTGTATCAACTATAAAATAGTAATTTATACTTGCATATAAAGAAACTTGCTGAAAGTAAATACACTGTAAAGTTATAGCCATCCTTTAACTTTTAACTTTTAAACTTCATTATTAGAACAATTAAAAACCCACTAACTATTCAACACTACTGATGACTCATGGTGGTGGGCTACTCACATAAACCTGGAGTGACCTGAAGGCCAGCGTAGGCAGTGTTTGGTCATCAGGTGCTTAGTGAGATAGCAGCCTCGCTTGAACTTGCTCTCACACAGATGGCAGCAGTAAATGGAAGCAGCAGTTACTTGGTGATGCTGTTTTGACAATGAGAACCAGTGAGAAATAGTTATTTGTGCAACTAGTGAGCAAACGGAACAATTGCTTCAATCGAGAGAAATCCTTATTCACGAGCCGTAGGCGAGTGAGGAATAGTTGTTTCTCGAGTGAGGCGATTGCACTTTACACTCGAGTTGCACATTATATTTTTCCTACAGTTACCATAAAACAAATAAATTGGTAAAGAAACATGCCTTCACGTTGCAAATCTGGAGTGAGACAAAGTAATTAGAGAACATGTACATTGTTAGGTAACTGTAGGAAAAATTATACTAACTACAGTTGTCGCACAAAGTGGCATTTTGTTCGCTTGATTAGTTTGAAAAAAAACTTCATGATTTTTGTGTTAACAGAAAGATAATTTTGAAAGAATGGAATGTCGAAGTCATTATTTCAGTTTAGTTTAGTTTTAGCACAGTTTGCATTATGCTGAGATGGCGATGCATGCTCAGTTCGGCTCTGCATATTTTCTATAAAATACTCCGAATTTCAGTATATATTTAAGTATTTGAATTTTTTATTATCTGAATGTGGAACTATCCCAATTTTGATTAGGATGATTGGAAGTTATACTGTACTTTTCCTCACTCCGGATGACAAACGAGCAAAACAAAATTTTGGCTACGTCTATTTGATTTGAAAAGTAATCAACAAAATGGCTGTATGAGAAAATTAAATTAATTCTTAGTAGAACTCAAATTCACCTAATTGCTTACAGAAATCATTTGAAACCCCTAAAACTACAGAAAAAAGAATTGATTAAAGAAGGCGGAAGGCGTAATTTCCAAAAAATCCTGAACATAAAAAAAATCCACGGTCGTGTCAACATCACTTGTCATCATTTTCTTCTGTGATCGTAGAAAAATCTTAAATATCTCTCGTGGCCATAAAGACATCATCATTGTTTAGAACTAGTGATGAGTCGATACCAAAATTGATCGATTCCTAATATTAATGCCTAAAAATAATAATTCAATTTTCAATACCCATAAAATTGTTATAGTTTTAGCAAATTTTCTAAATAGATTGGTTATAGCTACTTAAAAAAAATCACAAATCTTATAAAGTTTGTAAATAAATAATAAATGTACTAGACCAATCTCTGTCTTTATGTCCATCCATAAAGTATTTTTGAGGTACCTAATAAATAGAGTGTTTTTCAAATATAGAAAAAAATATGCAGCAATGAAAAAATATATAGTTAGGCCTAATCTAGGCTAACCTTCAGTTAACTAAACAGTTAATCTAAACCTAAACACATTAAATAACTACCATATCAAAGGTAAATAAAGATCTAACGGACAAAATATAAATAATTTATAAATAAAAATACTTTTTAAAAATGCCACGTTTTTAAAGACACCAAAAAGTATAAAATAATTTATAAAATGTTGAGAGAATAAATACTTGCAGGATTTAAAACGATAAACGTGGGGCGCATGCTGATTTACAATTAACTTCACCTATTGAACTATTATGATCTATTGCATGCGTCCCACGTTTTTCGTTTTAAATCTTACAAGTATTTATTCTCTCAACATTTTATAAATTATTTTATACTTTTTGGTGCGTTTAAAAACGTGGCATTTTTAAAAAGTATTTTATTTAGAAATTATTATCTAGTTTTTAGTCTTTAATGTGTAAATATGTTAAATCTATTTTATATAGCCTCTTAATACATACCGGTAACCAAAACCCAAAACCTTATTATCTGTAATCAGATGTTTTATCTTTACTTTGAAATGATTGTTTTATATTTTTAGAATATCTCGGGAGCAGAACCTGTACCTCTTAACCTCTGCTCTTCTAACTGTCAAATTTAAGTATTTACAGCTGACTTAAATTAATTTATATGTTAACATTCTTTTAAAATGTAAACATGGAAAATTTGGAAGCCAAAGGGGCGTAGCCCAAGGGAAATATGAAAATTAAATGATATAATATTGCATTGTCATCCATTTGTGAGCTATGTTTCAAGTTTCAAGTCTCTAGCTCATTGGGAACTTCGTTTGAAATTGATATCAACATTTGTAGGAAAGCGAGCTAATAAAAACAAGCCCATGGGGCGTAGTCCAAGGGAAATATGAAAATTAAATGATATAATATTGCATTGTCATCCATTTATGAGCTATGTTTCAAATTTCAAGTCTCTAGCTCATCGGGAAGTATCAAAATTTGCAAGAAAGCGATTTGATAAAAACAAGCCCATGGGGCGTAGCCCAAGGGAAATATGAAATTAAATGATATAATATTGCATTGTCTTCCATTTGTGAGCTATGTTTCAAGTTTCAAGTCTCTAGCTCGTCGGGAAGATAGTATAAAATTGATTTCAAAATTTGTACCGGACAAGAAAGCGAGCTAATAAAAACGTTTTAAAATAGAGGTATGCCAGCCCAGGGTGTCCACCAGGCCAACCAGAAAAAAATCATGAGTAATTCCAGATAGTTCAAGTCTAGGGGTCTCAATCCCGGGATTATATTATTTTATGATTTTAACTTTTATCCATTTTAAACGCCTGAAACTTATATATTCATACACCTAATGAAAAAACAAAAAACATTGTTTTCCTACAGTTACCTAACAATGTACATGTTCTCTCACTGATTTGAGAAAGCAAAGTGGCCAATTCGCTCATCAGTGAGACAATGTTAACATTGTCTCACTCTAATTACTTTGTCTCACTCCAGATTTGCAACATGAAGGCACGAAATAGTGAGCGCGTAACATGCAGGCAACGTCGTATGCGCGCGAAATACGTTGGCAGCACTGGCTGTAAATCAGCTGGTCAGCTGTTGTACTGTTGTATTTGTCACTTCACATTAAATGTCATATTAAAAGTTCACTTCTGTGTAAAAATATGTCACGTTTCTTTATCAATTTATTTGTTTTATGGTAACTGTAGGAAAAATATAATGTGCAACTCGAGTGCAAAGTACAATTGCCTCACTCGAGAAAACATTCCTCACTCGCCTACGGCTTGTGAGTAAGTATTTCTCTCGAGTGAGTCAATTGCTCCCTTTGCTCACTAGTTGCACAAATAACTATTATCCACTTGCAATCAAGTAAAATATTCTATTTTTATTTTTGGGATACACTTTACCAACAACAAATTACCATTTAAAATAATAGTTGTTAAGCGCAGCAACGTGCGCCGGGTAACTGCTAGTATACATCTATTATTTGTAATGTAAAGGTGAATTTTTTATACTGAACATAAACTGAATATAACTGCGACTAGTATTGTAAAGTTCAATTTATTATTCTAAAAGCTGTGAAATTATAATGTCATATATTCATAGTCAAACTCTTTACTCCTTGAATAAAAGAGCTAAGAGGAAAAGTCGTTCTCTCTGTCTTAAGTAGACAACAAAATTGTTGATCGCAAAATGTAAACAAATAAAAAGAAGAAGGTAGGTAGCTTCTAATGTTATTCTTAAGGGACAAATTTAAAAATGTATTTTTAGAGTTTTATAATTACTACTGAGCGGAATCATCTAGAATTTTAATGGTGTCTTCCCACTGGTGTCATAATTATCTGTGCAAAATTTGAACGCTATAAGTGCAACAACGGTTCTTGAGTTTTTGATGCGAACACACAGCGTCACAGAGTCACAGATGAGCGGACAACTTTTCTCTTTTCTCTGACTCTGCTATACACGATACATAGATTCGTTCACTTTGTTCACTCATCTATTACTAATTAAATAATCAGCAAATTAAAAACTAATCTTTAAACCTGAATTTATCAATAACTTCTAAAAAATAGTGATATTTTGATATTAAAATTTATTGACTCTCCGTACCGACACCTGAAAAATAGATTCTTAATGCTGATATTTAATTTCACCAAATTTTCTGTAAGGATTACTACACCTTTCATGTTCTTTATGTTCTTTCATATAGTATGTAATTTTGGAGTTATGGGTTGTTTTTCAAGTGGCCTACTGAGATGTTCCAAAATTATCCTATTTGTTTACTTTTCAATTTGTATGTAATTTGTTTATAAACCATGTGTTATATATCTGAACACCTAGACCTACTACTAAATATCTCTGAATTATCATATGTTTTCCATACAGTAAAATAGCAAATGATTTCACCTTTTGTAAATTTTCCATATTTCATATTCACCTCAAACCTTGTTATTAATTATTTAATAAGCTTAAGTTTCATATAACTGGAAATTATTTCTACAGCAGACAAACCGCACAAAGTTCAAAGATCGAGATTTGTTCGTCTGGTGAATAATTACTCACTTAAAGTGAGGGACTTGTTCTAGGGGGGGGGGGGGGGGTGTGTAGTGTCTACTCTTCCTTCTGGTTTTTACCATCATATTAAATGTCAGTTATTTCTAACTAAATATTTTAAATGTGTTGATTTTATTATTGTTAATTTTTGTTTTTGTAAACAGTTCAGTTTTACATTGATCTTAATAAAAACTTGAATTCAATACAACTATTGATTTTATCATTTATTTTACTACATTTTAAATTCTTTTACAAAATTATCCTTCTCTTTCATTTTCTAAAATATGATTAAAATACTCTTGTTCTCTTGTTATAATATCAACCAACCATAACAGTTAATAGTGTGTGACATCAAGAAACCAGTGGTAACCAATTGTTGTAGCAGATGTGAGTTAAATTTGACACCAAGATGATTTAACTTCCATTGTAATCCACGAAGAAGAAAGAAGTCTAATTTGAAAAATATTGACATTTTTAATTTGTGATTTAAAACTTATAAGTATTACTGCAAATGTTTGGAGTATTTGAACACCAATAATTGCCACAATTATCATTAAAGCATCAGGAAATATATTGATTCGTGGTGAAGATAACTATAAACTTTTGGGTGGGATCCAACCTTGTTAAAATACATTCCAAGAATTTCCATTGACTTTGCCAGTTCGAACTTTGAACTAAATTACCATATAATATTTTACTAGACTCAAACTTTAAATTTTTATCTTTCAAAAAGTGTCTGATTGAACTTTATGATGAACATTAGGCCTATGCCTATAAAAAATCACATAAGTCTACTTTGAGCTGGCACGATACCCCTAGTACCCTGAGATATAGAGAGTTTCATCATATCATTAATAATAGCCTACATAATTTAGTCGGACAAATAAATTCATTTACATTTCTAAAATAAATTGTAAAGCAAGAAATAACTAAAGCATATCAAGACATATCAGAAATTAAAGAGACTTTATTGATTCAAACATTTTTAGGTTAACCCTATTTGTAAATTTTGATCAAAACATGGTTTATATGTTTATTATTGTAAACCCTGGGCATTTATTTATTTATTTACCCTAAATGTGGACTTACACTACAGAAATAATCAATGCATCAATGACATCATTATCGTCTCTCGCGGTCACAGAAATGTCATCGTCATCTCCCGCGTTCACCAAGGCTTATGGTAGAAAAAGAAAATTAAAATAGTAAGAGAAGAGGAAAAGAAAGAGAGAAAGGAAAAGAAAAAGTATAAAGATATTCAGGATTTTGCAGCGATCCCAGACAACGACGATGATGTCTCCATGACCGCAGGAGATGATTTTTGAGCATTGAACGTGCTTGTCTTAAAACGTGTCCAATAATTTATGACCACCCAGTATTTTGTTAGGTTGTGCAGACTTACATCTATCATATGTCTCTGAAGAGTTTGTTTGGACCGACATGAGAACTCACACCCTTCCTCCTCACAGCCCAGACGAGCGTCAGGGTCATGACTGGTCAGGTGCGTCTTGAGATCATACTGGGTCTTACATCTGCAAAAATACCACATAACTTAATGGTTAACACATTTAGTTTGTATATGGTAATTTTGAATGAAGCAATTTACTATTTAGAAAGATATAATGGCAGTCCACAAGCTTAATCATGGTTCACAATTATTGATAAGCCAACACTATTGTAACTGAGGGCTAAAATATGACTTCACAAGACAAGAGTGTAGCTTGGTAAAAGCCAAGATTATTTTTAGTTGAGCGCAAATGCAACCGTAATTGACAGGGATTCACAGGGAATTCCATTGTGAGGTTGGCAACAGCAGCTTGAAAACACATGTCAGTCACTGTTCTTGGCCGACACACATGAAAAAGTCAAAAAGTCCTATATTTGGACAAAATATCAGTGTTATGTTTGGTGTTATTTATCTTTCTCAAGTAAGCTAACTGAACTCTATTCCTTTTCAAAAAGTTCCTAACCAAATAACTTTCCTTCCAAGTATAAAAACGTCAGATTAAAAATCTTCTGTAAAATCAAATTGGGGCATCCCAATTATATGAGGCTCAAAAAAGTTGTCAATACTTACGCATATTTACACATTGAACATTTGAAAGGCTTGGAGTCAAGATGTTTGTAGCGTATGTGAGCACTGAAGGTGTGTCTGGAGAAACAAGTCATGTCACAGTAACAGCACTTGTAGAAGTTGACATGTCCTCTCATGTGATCTTTGAGTAGACGAAGACTAGGGAAGTTCTTGTAGCAGTGGCTGCATGGGAAATCTGATCCTGAAACACAACACACTAAACTCAACAAAACCCTCTTCTCATGATCACATCAGGGTTTTTCTATGACTGCGAGAAATGATGATGATGGGATTCCATTGTCGTGGGATATATTTACTATTTTTTGTCGGAAAGTTAATGGTTGAAGACCATTTAGTGGGTGTCAGTAAGCAACTTTTAGCAACCTACAACTACAAAAATTGTGCTAGCCTCATGTTTCTATCACTATCTCATATTCTAAGGTTTGTGAAACTTCAGGAGGGGTCAGAAAGCTTTGAGATTGTGGATTGACAATTCTCACACACATTTTTGTTGACTTTGTTTAGAAGTAACAAGAGAAGGCCTTCCACTCATTTTCTTGTCATGAATGTTTATTCTTTCATTTTTTTTAAACAGTAGCCACTGAAAAATTACACCTTCACTTATAAAAGCTAATGTTTGAACTACAAGGAGTGTCCAGAGAGTAAAAGACATTTTGCATTAGTCTCGCTTGGGGTTGTGCTATCGCCTCCATCTTAGCATGTGAGCGTTTCTACACTCAGTACGCATCCAGCTAAAGGAACGTGCATATCATCTCTTGTACTTTGTCAGCATAGAAGTGTTAAAATCCCGCCAGTTATGAGGCTGTGATCTGTATTTTATTATAAAATAAATGAAAAGCGAGAATTGAAATTTATAGTCGAATTTGTGATGTTTACGGCAAAAGAGTGGCTGAGCAAGACAGTGGTGCACTAACTTTAAAAATATCAGAACAAATGTTCAGGACCGCAGTGTTAGGTCTAGTCTAGTGACTGTTGAACTGGCAGGGAACGTCAATGACAAAATCTGTAAAAATTGCTGTTTTACAATTATGGAACCCATGGAACTTTTTTCTTTAAATTTCATAGTGTTTGGTTCATAAAATTGCCTAAAAAGATCTTGGTAACCACAAATTGTGTTACCAGAGGGTTCCAAAGATCTTAACAGATGGTCACAAAAACAGGTGAGTTCCTACAGCACAGATATTCCTGGGAGACTAGGACAAAAGTGGAAACAAGTTTTGAGCCATTTTAAATTCAATGCACCACTGTTCACTTAAGCCTGCAATCATTAATCCTTGAGTTGTGAAAGACCAATTAGTTACTTACTTACAAATCAATAACATACTTAGCAAGCGTCAGTACGGGTTTTGTCAGGACAAAAATATTTCAGATGCGTTGTTTGATATTAATAAAGAATTAAAATCTGTGATTTCAGAAAAAAATCATCCATTATTAATTTTCCTTGATTTAAAAAAAGCATTTGATTCTGCTGACCGTTCAAAATTATTGAGAAAAATGGAATACATTGGTTAAATTAGCCATTAAATTAAGTAAAAGTAAAAGTAAGTTAAATTAGGTATTTGCGGCAACTCCCTTGCATGGTTCCAAAGCTACCTTTGTAACAGATCACAATTTGTTTCCATTAATGACATTACTAGTAATGTATTGCCAGTAGACTATGGCACAGAAAACATACTACTATAACCCAGAATGCCAACCGCATGGTAAAAACCATTAAGTGTTTTGAGAGAGCTTTGCCTGTCAATCCGTAGGCAGCGCTACCAGCGTTGCCAAGCATAGCAACGCTGGTGGTGCTGCCTACAGATTGACAGGCAAAGCTCTCTCAAAACACTTAATGGTTTTTACCATGCGGTTGGCATTCTGGGTTATAGTTGTATGTTTTCTGTGACTATGGTGTGGTCCAAGGCAGCAACCTTGGGCCAGTTTTATTCTTAATTTATATAAATAATATTTAAAGACTAAACATCTTTGATAAAATCTTTTTATTTGCCGATGATAGCCTAATTTTCTTGCAAGGAAAGACCTGGCCCGAGGTGTATGACAGAGCCACACATGACCTCATGATATTAAGAAGTGGTTAAATCAAAATGTTCTTTCACTAAATGTTTCTAAGACAAAATTCATGCCTATATCTATTAGCAAGCGTACAGACTTCAATTTAGGCAATCTCACAATTCACGAATGTGACGATTATAAAAGTAATTCTTGTAGATGTGAAAGTATAGAAAAGGTCAACTCTTATAAATATCTAGGTGTATTGTTTGACGAACGATTAAAATGGACAGATCACGTTAATTATGTTAGAAATAAAATTCTGAAATTAATTTTTGCCTTCAAACACATGAGATAAGTTTTGACTGGTAAGGAATTAAAAATGGCTTACTTTGCTTTTGTTCAATCATTACTTTCGTTTGGTATTATAGCTTGGGTCGGCTGTTATAGGAGTATCTTTTTTAACCATTAAATATTGCTCAAAAATTGATTTAAAAAATAGGATTTAGGAAATGCAAACGTTACCCGACTGACGCTCTATTTAAAGAAATAGGAGTCCTTACTGTTCGCCAGTTGTACGTAAAATCAATATTAATAAACATCCATACAAATTACAATATCATTTTTCAAAATATATCACATTTATATAATACAAGATATTCTTCTAGATTTGGAATCACCACAATTCAAGTGAATTATACTTTTTCTACGACTAATTCATACTATGTTTCACACTTAGTCTATCGTATGTCCTGTCAAATGATGTAATGACATGTAATGAATAAATAAATAAAATAACATATGCAACATTTTTAGGGATTTCAATTTTTTTGATTGTGAATCATTAAAGGTATTTAAATTCCGCCACAATGATTTCCTATTCAGTTTAAATATCGACGAGGCCGATTCTATTATCACGGCGGACTACCGGCACACTTGATCCGACCTTTGCACTGACTGACCTTGGCACTTTGTTAGGACTGTCCGCAGTCGAATTTACCACTCTCCACCCCACTTCACTCTTTACCCTACAATCCACTCATCACTCTCCACACTCATCACTCTCCACTCTCTTCACTACCACCATTACACACGAAACTCACACACACACCCACACACTCTCTCTCTCTTTCTCTCTCTCTCTCTCTCTCTCCTGGCCACCACAAAAATCTATAAAGCGCCATCTGTTCATGGAAATACATTCACTTATTTAACTAATAATAATAACGACCTATTGTTTTTTTTAATTGCCATTCCAAAATTCAATAATTTTTCTTTTTTCTATTTGACAGCAACTTAGCAGACGCACAGGTAGCACTGCCTATGTCTGCTAGTTCCTTTATTTTATTGTTATATTTTTTGGCTTTATTAAAACTTGTATACCTATATATTTTTAGTGACAAAAGTCTCTGTCTAATATTCTTTATTTAGTTTATAATCACTGTTTGTAGCCAATGTTTTTTGGAATAAACTACATTCATTCATTCATTCCTTTAACATTAGCCTCCGAAAACCTGGCGATAAATTTCAATTGGCAAGTCAATTTTTACAAACAAAAATCTGATCACAGAGCCCACCCTAATGAGGACAAGTGCAATGGCTGCATTTTTAAATCAATGTAAACGACATGTACGGGCAATATGATACAGGGTGTATACTATTTTATTAAAGTGAAATGCCAGGTTTTTTCCTGGTTTTTCAAAGTTTTTCCAGGTTCCCCCGTATCTGTTTGGTTCCACTTAAACTATAATTAATTTAAGACTTGCAGCTTAAGTATACAATATACATCAAATTATTTCAAAGTCCAGTGAGCTGGTGTTGAAAAAATAATAATCCTTATTATAGTAATAATTTTCATTATTATCATTACTTAAGGCCACCGGAAACATCGTCTCTCTCGATAGCGGCAAAATCCTGAATATTATCTTCATTTTTTATGAACACATTATCAACGGCAGGAAAATCCTGAATATTTCCTGCGGTCGTGTGGTCGCTTCCCACAGTAACGTAAACGTCATCACAGTCTTACGTAATCATAGAAAAAGCCTGGACATCTCCCGCGGTTTGTATACATTATCGCCGTCTCTCGCGATCACGGGAACGTAATCATCGTCATCCACGATCGCGGCAAAATCACAAAAATCTTCCGCGGCCGTATGGACATCATCATTGCTTCCCGCAGTCAGGGAAACATCATCGTCATCATCCGTGATCTCGGTAAAATCATGAATATTTCCCGTGGCCGTGTAAATATCATTGTCGTCTCCCGCGGTCACGGAAACGTCATCATCATCGTCCCTGACATCCGCAAAATAATGAATATTTCCTGCGGCAGTGTAAACATCATCGTTGATCTCGCGGTCACGGAAACGTCATCGTTGTCGTCTGCGATCGCGGAAAAATCATGAACATCTGTGGCCATGTAGACATAATCATCGTCGTCTTTCGCGGTCACGGCAAATAACGAAAATCTTCTGCGGCCGTGAAGACATCATCATTGCCTCACGCAGTCACGGAAACGTCATCGTCGTCGTCCGCGATCTCGGCAAAATCATGAATATTTCCCGCGGCCGTGTAAATATCATTGTCGTCTCCCGCGGTCACGGAAACGTCATCGTCGTCGTCCACGATCTTGGCAAAATAATGAATATTTCCCGCGGCAGTGTAAACATCATCGTTGATCTCGCGGTCACGGAAACGTCATCGTAGATTCCCGCGGTCACGGAAACATCATCGTCACCGGCTGCAATCACGGCAAAATCATGAGCATATCACGTGGCCGTGTAAAAACCATCATCGTCGTCTTTTGCGGTCACGGCAACTCACGAAAATCTTCCACGGCCGTGTAGACATCATCATTGCCTCTTGCAGTTATCGAGAAACGTCATCGTCGTCTCCCGTGGTCACGAGAACGTCATCGTTGTCGTCCACGATCGCGGCAAAATCAAACATCTGTGGCTGTGTAGGCAAAATCATCGTCGTCTTTTGCGGTCACGGCAAATCACAAAAATCTTCTGCGGCCGTTTAGACATCATCATTGCTTCCCGCAGTTATGGAAACGTCATCGCCGTCGTTCGTGATCTCAGCAAAATTATAAACATCTGCGGCCGTGTAGACATAATCATCGTTGTCTCCTGCGGTCACGAAAACGTAATCGTCGTCGTCCGCGATCTCGGCAAAACATGAATATTTCCCACGGCAGTGTATACTCGTCGTCGATCCCGCGGTCACGTAAACGTCATCGTCGTCGGTCACAATCGCGGCAAAATCATGAGCATTTCACGCGGCCGTGTAGAAATCACGTCGTCATCTTTCGCGGTCACGGCAAATCATGAAAATCTTCCGCGGTCGTGTAGACATCATTGACTTCAGCGGTTAGGGAAACGTAATCGCCGAAGTACGCGATCGCGGCAAAATCATGAATATTTACCGCAACCATGTAAACATCATCGTCGTCTCCAGTGGTCACGGAAATGTCATCGTCATCTCCCGCGGTCACGGCAACGTCATCGTTGTCGTCCGCAATCGCGGCAAATCATGAACATTTCCCGCGGACGTGTAGATGTCATTGTCGTATCCTGCGGTCACGGAAACGTCATCGTCGTCTCCAGCGGGCACGAAAACGTCATCGTCGTCGTCCGCAATCGCGGCAAGACGCATTTTACAACTACAATCTTCTACCGGGGCTAAAATAAAAATCCCGGAATCGGTTCAAAAATCCTGGCTTTTTCCCGGTTTTTTCCAGGTCCCTTCAAATTCAAGGTTATTTCCCAGTTCTCCCGGTTGGTATACACCCTGTGATACCTCACTGTAGCTGGATGCGTACGGAGTGTAGGAACGCTCTCATATTAAGATTCCGGCGACAGCACCGACTCAAGTGGCATCAAGGCGAAAGTGTCTATTACTTTCTGAACGGACCTTGTATAAACTCCACACAATTCACAATGAATTTCTGCAGCTAAATCGTAAAAGTTTAAAAAAGCTAAAAAAAAGCTTAAAAAGCTGGCAAAGTTTAAGCGTACTGATCTACTGCTGCTGCCAATCTCAAGACGGCAATACACATAAACGGAGGTTACTTACTGGATAGCCCTTGTATTAGCTTACCCTCATTGGTCATCTGACGGTGACAGTGGTCGCTGAGCTTGGTGTTTGTTGAGAAGACATGACCACATGTAGGGCACGCCGCTACTCTCTCCCTTGTGTGTGTGCGCATGTGGTCCATCAGGCGAACCCTGGTCGGCATATTGCTTCTGGAGCAGCCTACAATATAGTGCAATTGTAAATTCGTATATAAGTCCAATGGGTTGCCGGAATTGAACCCCCCTGGAATTGTACCCCCCACTGATCATTGACGTCATTTTTATTCCGCCCCGTACACTTTGATTTTTATGGAATCTAATCTATTTAGGCCTAATGTGGGCAAGTGATCAGTGAACCGGATAATTATATTAGAAATTAAATAGAGCGGGAGGTGTACGGCTCGGAATTGTACCCCCTGGAACTATATCCCCTGCCAACATCAAATCATTTATGTATGGGGCAGACGGGGCATTTATGTACCCCCCTGCAATAGTACCCCCCCACAGATAGCCAAATGTGAACAGGGTGGAATTGTACCCCCCCCCCCCCTTGTACTAATACTTCAAACGTCTTTAAATAAACTTTTGGTATTAATCAAATGAAATAGTAGCGAATAACTTCTAAAGTAACATACGTTGGATTTTTAATCCTGTACAGAAAATAGTGATTGGACTAAGGAAATATAATTGCTAAGAGATTGACCAGACTTTTGGCTTCACCACTTAACTTCGCCTCGGACCATATGGACATTTTTTAATTTAATTTTTAATTTCTTAAACCATGAACAACCTAATAAAAAAATTAATGTTTCATTGTAAATCACAGCTTTTTGTTGCTAGTTGGTTCAAATGAGCTATTGTCAATGTTGTCATAAATTCAAAAAATATGAATATTGCTGCACCCTGTTGGTAAACCTTACAACTTTTTAATGCTATTGGATATCATAGAACCAACTTGTTTGGTCGAATCAGCTGACAAAATTATTTAATTCTCTTTAAATGTAAATATCCATAAGGTTAACATGGGAAACTCTAGAGCCACTGGGGCGGAGCCTGAAAGGAGTTTTGCGATAAAAATATGCCCATATGTTAATCAGGAATGTGAGCTATCATCACACCAAATTTCAGCCCAATCCGACCAGTATTTTTTGTGTTTACTTGTCACTAACATCCATACATACATCAAAACTTTCTCATTTATAATATTAACCGCTATATTAAGCGGTTAAATATTAAAAACTAATCTTAACTAATCTTAATCTTAGTTTATATGCTCCTATATTGGTTGTTGCTTATGTTGGGTTGCATAAACGATGGTTTATTTTGCATTCTTCCTCTCTTACGCGAGGTGTTCTCTTTTCTTTGTCCAGGTGGTGCGTTGGTGTAAGGAGCGTAGCGATGCGATGGTGAATTCGCATCCTTCCTCTCTTACGCGAGGAGTTTCTCTTTTTTTTTTCCAGGTGGGCTATTGCCCTTCACTCTCGTCTAGTGATTGATCGTATATTATGTCGATCAATTCATCCTCCCAGTTTTTGCTGTCTGAGTCTTGGTACAAGTACTTCACTCCAGTTTCTCTTTTCTTTTTCCAGGTGGAGTTGTAGGTTCTCCAGTCCGTCATTGTACTAGGTGTGCAGTTTTTCCTTTTTCCTTTTCCTTAGAGTCTTCGGGGGACCGAGTCGTTGGGTCCTGTGCTTGTGATATAAATTAGTCATCAGCTGTTTGATATTGTGAACATTTTTATTTGTTTATCTTTGGATGATTTTTATTGATTCTTGTAGTCATGGAGAAATCAATATTTACCAGAGTTGGATTGTTCTGATGTGTAAAAAAATGTTAGTTTGTTAAAGCATTAAATATCTTAATTATTTTTTTAATTTGCATGTTGATTTAATTACAAGCTATTTCGGCATAATGTCAGGTACTGGTGTTAAGTTCTCAGACTTGATTAAGCAGTATGATGGAAGTGGTGATTTTAGTGAGTGGTTAAAGAAACTAGAATTGGTATGTAAGCTCCAAAAGGTGAAAGACTTGCAGACAGTTCTCCCCCTATTTTTGGCTGGAGGAGCATTTTCTGTATATGACGGGCTAGCAGAAAATGTAAAGAGTAACTATGAGGCTCTCACCAATGCATTGCTGCAGGCCTTTTCTGCGAACTGTTTTCAGGCTTATGCAGAATTTACAGCTAGGCGTCTACTTCCCGGTGAGTCACTAGATGTATATGCTTCTGATTTGAAGAGATTGGCAAAATTGGTGGACCCTTTTGTATCTGATGAGTGGATTAAGAGCGCAGTTGTACATGGCTTGCCAGAAGATACTCAAACCCAGTTGAAAGCTGCGTGTTCTCTTCAAAGCATGGAGTTGTCGGATGTAATGACAAGAGCTAGGAATCTGTTGGGCAGTGAGTCAAACTTTGGGGCGGTTGCACAGGCTAATGCCAAAGTTTTCAAAGTTGGTAAACAGTGGTCTAAAAAATGCTTTGTTTGTGAGAGGGAAGGCCACGTAGCACGTTCGTGTCCCCATCTAAATCGTGAGTCAAAAGTAACCTGTTACCGGTGTGGGGAGGTAGGACATTATGCCTCAAAATGTTCACAAATTCCAAAAAACGAGTGAATGGGGCTGCCTTATGTTGCGCGGGTGGCCCAATTTCTTCAGCGCAACTCCCTACATTAACAATAAGTGTGTCGGGTTTTAAATGCTGTGCCTTGCTGGACTCAGGTTGTTCAAGGAGCATTGTGTCACCTAGTTTAGTGAAATATGGAGTAGAACTGAAGCCAGTAAGTCAAAGGATTATAATGATGAATGGAGAATCAGTTGAGTGTAACATGACATGTATGTTACAAGTTTTGATAAGAGGTGTTCCGCTCAAACTGAGTTGCTTGGTTGCCAGTGTATTGCCAAGGTATCAGATGCTTCTAGGGATGGATGCAGTGACTGCAATGGGAGGTGTCACTATTGATGGAGATGGCACTATTACGTTCAGGGACGTTGATATCGGAGCGATGGCTGAGGCCAAGAAGGAGTTGTGCGTGAAGGAAACCTCGGAGAATGGCAACGATGAGATCGCTATTAATGATTGTGACTTTAATGCGAAATTTGTTGATGGAAAATGGACCGTTGAATGGAATTGGAAAGATGGCGGTAAAACACCTAAGATAAATAACCAAGTACCTTCATACTCAATTTCAAAAGAGGCAAGGGAGGCGTTTGACGCTGAAGTGCATGATTGGATAAGAGACGGTTGGCTCCAGCCTTATGACGGGGAGTTTGATGGCTTAATTCCTTTAATGGCGGTCGTGCAACATAACAAGGACAAAGTGCGACCTGTAATGGATTACAGGGAATTAAATCAGTATGTTTCAAGCCATACAGCAGAAAGTGAGGTTTGTGGGGAAAAGCTAAGGATGTGGAGAAAGCTAGGAGAACATGTGAGCACTATCGACCTTCGTAAGGCATATCTCCAAATCCATATTGCTCCTCATTTATGGAAATTCCAAGTGGTCCGATTTAAGGATAAGAATTATTGTCTAACACGACTCGGGTTTGGTCTAAATGTCGCACCGAAAATAATGAGCAAAATTGTTAATAAAGTGCTGTCAATGGACCCAATAGTCCGAAGTGCTACGGACTCTTATGTTGACGACATAGTGGTGAATGAGAACATTGTTGGCGGTGATGTAGTAAAGAAGTTGTTGGAAAAATATGGGCTGTCAGCGAAACCAGTGGAGCCACTTGATGGAAGTAGGGTTTTGGGGCTTAACGTCTCAAAAAGAGATGGCAAGTTGATGTGGACCAGAGACAACAAGATAAAAGCTTTGGATAAAATTGAGACCAAGAGGGATGTGTACTCCTTGTGTGGGCAGTTAATCGGACATTTCCCGGTGGCTGGTTGGCTTCGACCAGCATGCAGTTTTCTTAAGAGGCAATTGACAGATTTGAAATGGGACGATGTGGTGGGCAACCGAATCAAGATAATGTTAGGAGATATAATGGAAAGCGTAAAAGAAAAGGATCCTGTGTTTGGAAAATGGGCAGTGTCATCTAGTGACAAAGGAACTGTGTGGTGTGATGCTAGCAGCTTGGCGATCGGTATTTGCATTGAAATTGATGGTGAAATAGTTGAGGACGCGTCTTGGCTAAGGAAAGAAGATGATTCGGCGCATATTAACTTAGCTGAGTTAGAGGCTTTGTTGAAAGGAGTGAACTTAGCTTTGAAATGGAATTTGAAGGAGTTATACTTGGTCACAGATTCGGCCACCGTTTATGCTTGGGTAACATCCATATTAACAGGAGACCGACGTATTAAAACACATGGGATGGGTGAAGCTCTTGTAAGAAGACGGTTGGGTTTGTTAAAAGACCTCATATCAGAATGTGGCCTTAAGGTGAGGATGGATCTGGTTAAATCGCAATTTAACAAAGCAGATCGCCTGACGAGAGTTCCTAAAAAGTGGTTGGCAAGAGAGGAGGAAAAGACCAGAATTGCAATGATGGGTGAAGAAGAGGAGGAAAAGACCAGTATTGCAATGATGGGTGAAGAAGAGGATGAGGATAAACAAAAGTTGGTCAAAAGAATCCATGGTCTGCATCACTTTGGTGTTAATCGAACTCTTTTCACAGTTAGGCGTTGTTACCCAGCCGTTGAGTTTAGTAAACAGGACGTTGACTGCGTAGTCAAATCATGCAAAGAATGTTTATCTGTTGATCCATCCCCCATCAAATGGAAGCCGGGGCACTTGGATTGCGACAAGAATTGGCACAGGCTTGCGATTGATGTGACTCATTATGGGTCATATAAATTTCTTACAATTATAGATTGTGGTCCAAGTCGGTTTTGCATTTGGCGACGGATCCCAAGTGAGACTAAAGAACAGGTAGTAAAAATCTTACTTGGACTGTTTTCAGAACGAGGTCCACCCCAAGAACTATTAATGGACAATAGTGCAACATTCAGATGTGAACAAATTGAACAACTGTGTGAGGAATGGGGGGTTATCCGTCGTTTTAGGTGTGTGAACTAGTGATGGGCGATACGGACGCGTATCGCGATACAGCGATGCGATACGATACGTATCGGAAAAAAATATCGTATCGCCGTATCGAATCGGGCGTCTGTATCGCGATACGCGAATCGTATCGTCAAAAATATCGAAAAACGATACGTATCGTATCGTTTTCCCCCTC